CACCCCCTGCGAGCCCCCCACAGCTCCCCCTGCGAGCTCCTCCCACACACCCTCTGCAAAACCCCCCACGTACTCCCTGCAAGCCCCCCACTTCATCCCACGGTACTTTGACAGATACCCCAATATCCTGCAAACAGGGCCGGATGGAGCCATTCGCATGACCTGGGCCCCGGGAGCATGGCGCCTCCCCCGGAAGTGTGACGCATGCGCAGCCCCGGTATCCAGCGCATGTGTGGAGTCACCCCGGGCGATAGCCCAGTTGACCCGTACCTTGCACCGGCTCTGCCTGCAAAGCTGAGTGCTGAAGTGTCCCTGGCCTCTGTTTGTCAGATGCTGGGAATGGGCGACAGGCGGTGGATCACTGGATGATTCCCTCTTCTGTTAATTCCCTCTGGGGCACTTTTTGCAGAAGAGCATCCGTGCCAATCTAGACGTGGTTTACTGCAAAAAAGCCCCGATCGCCATTTTCGCGATCGGGGCTTTTTTGCGGAAAACACATCTGAGCTGTCTACACTGGCCCTTTTGTGCAAAAGGGAGCAGAATAGTATTTCCGCAAGAAGCACTGATTTCTTACAGTAGGAAGTCAGTGCTTTTGCGGAAATTCAAGCGGCCAGTGTAGACAGCTGGCAAGTTTTTCCAGAAAAGTGGCTGATTTTCCGGAAAAACTTGCCAGTCTAGACACAGCCAAAGAATTCTGCACAAGTCTTACTCTCTCTCCTCACATACACAGTTCTGAGAGCTGATCAGTATATCCAGGTGGATGTGGGAATCCATGTGATGCCCCAGGGACCCTCCACACCAGTCCAGGGAGAGATGCCAGAGCCAGTGTGGGACATTTCTCACTGAAACCTCCAGGCTGTGATATCTCCCATTGGCTCTTTCCAATACAGTGTGAGCAGATCAGGCCAGAGGGCTGCTGCAGAGGGGGATAAAGGCAGCAGCAAAAGGGGGAAAGACCGTTTAAAAGGGTTGCAGGACAGTTAGAGGCAGCTGGGAGGGAGCTGGCCCAGGCAGATTAAGACCAGCTGACTCCACTGCTGGTTAGCTGCCTTTAAAAGCCTCCACAGTTGGAGGTGGGAGAGTGAGAAAGAAGATGGGAGGAGAGGTACAGGAGTAACAGAGAGCAAATAGTTTGAGAGTGTGTTGTATCTGTGTTAGAGCAAAAACAGTACAGGAGGGAGTCCCAGGAGTGGTGGCTATACTGCAGGGACCTGCTCCCAACCCCCACAGTTGGGAGAGAGAAGGATAGCCCTAGGGATGGCATGGGTAAGAGCGGCCCTTACCACACCAACAAACAGCCTGAGTCAGCTCCAGGAAGGGGAACAGCCAGTTGTTGTTGGAGGCGGGGCAGAGCTTGAACTCAGGAAATCGAAACTTATCTTCTTCCCCAGTGCAGAGGGAGCCATGGCTGCAGCAAGCCCTGTGAAAGATCTCTGGGAGGAAGCAACGTGTCCCCTCTGTCTGGAGTATTTCACAGCTCCTGTGACTCTGGCATGTGGGCATGATTTCTGCTGGGCTTGCCTCAGCCGGTGCTGGAAGGGACCCGGCCCAGCCACCTCCTGCCTGCAGTGCAGCGAAACTGTGCAGCAGAGACACCTCCAGCCCAACAGGCAGCTGGCAGAAGTGGTGGAAATAGCCCAGCAGCTGAGTTTGGAAGCAGAGCAGAAAATAGGAGGGAATGTGGTGTGTGGGGAGCACCAGGAGGCACTGAAGCTGTTCTGTGAGGAGGATCAAACTCCCATTTGTGTGATCTGCAGAGAGTCTCGGGCTCATCGCACTCACATTGTGCTCCCCATAGAGGAGGCTGCCCAGGAGTATAAGGTAGGGAATCACTGCCCCGTGTAAGGGGTAATAAGTCTGCATGTTAATTACAGGCTAATTTCACTGACTGTTCCCTGGCCTAGTGTGACTCAGTCAACTAAAGCCTTCCTGGTGTGTTATACAGTTCCCTTAATAAATGCTCTGGCCAGGTGACAAAAGAGACAAAATATTAAGTATTGAAAAATACCAGATTTGAGGAAGTTTTATCTGAGATGCTGAGTCCTTTTCAAATGCAGCTCCCACAGGGGAAATGAGGGAACTTTTTTCTGAGGGAAGGTGCTAACACTCAGGCTACGTCTACACTGGCCCCTTTTCTGAAGGGGGCATGCTAATTTGACAGGTCGTAATAGGGAAATCCGCGGGGGATTTAAATATCCCCCGCGGCATTTAAATAAAAATGTCCGCCGCTTTTTTCCGGCTTTTAGAAAAGCCGGAAAAGAGCGTCTACACTGGCCCCGATCCTCCGGAAAAAAGCCCTATTCCAGAGATCTCTTATTCCTACTTTAAATCCCCCGCGGATTTCCCTATTACGACCTGTCAAATTAGCATGCTCCTTTTGGAAAAGGGGCCAGTGTAGACGAGCCCTTACTGTTTTGGGGTTAGTAGGAGGAAAAAAAGCAAAGTGATCATTAAGTCCAGTCCCAGTCGGATATGCAGAATCTAAGAAGACTGAATGTAGTTTAACCAAAGGGATCTAGCTATAGTGCCACAATCTTGTAACGTCCTACAACATTGCCTTGAAAACATGCTTAAACAAAATCTGCATGGCATCTTTTAAATCAAACATCAAACAATGCCTTTGAAGTGCTCAGAGCCTTACAAGTATTGTTCAAAAGATTCTGGATCTTCTCTGCATTCTCTCTTTAATCTTAGGTGGGGAGAAGAAGAAAAGAAAAAGAAGAAATGTCTGAAGACATGAACAAAAGACCTTTACGGGGAGGAGGAAGAGAAAGAACAAGGTACCATCCAGACAGGAATTCAGGGAAGGTATGTAATGTTACATTATAAGACAATACGCTAATATTTTCCTCTAAATAATTATATAACTGCAAAATGAGTTTACTGCAAACCAAATCCACAATGGGTAATTATAATTGTGAGCTTCTTGGACAGTAGGATGAAAGGGGCTATACAGGCACCTCAGATAGACGGAAAGAAGCATAAAAAGAAATGTTACGTGTTCCAATTATTATTGAAACTTAAGCTTTTAAAATAAGTATTTTCTAATATTTACTGCTTGACGATCGGCAAGGACTGATTTTGTCAGCTCTTTGGTAGATCAACCCTCAAGACCAAATTTTTCAAAAGCCATCAGCGATTTGGGGGGCCTACACTGGGACACTTTCAGGATGCCCAATACCCGAAGGTAGATGCTCAAGCCATTGTTTAAAACCAGTCCTCTTTAAGGAGTTGCATGTTACACATGCAAAAATGGAGGCACCGCAAATCACAATTAGGTTTTGAGCAAGGGTCCGTACGCTGTCAGATGGTGACAAGGGAAGACAGAGCACACCTGTCACCTGCACAAGGATGTGGCTCACAAGTCAAGTGTTTGGAAATGTCTCCTGCATACGCAGCACGCTCAGAAACTCGACACAGACGTTTACACCGTTACTCCCATACTACAAACCTGATGGCCATCCTTACATTAAGGACAGGTCCTTTCAACAGGATTGGACCTTCGGGAGCTGATCAACTTAGACTCAACAGTGACCATCTCAAATAAAAGAGCCTAGGAAATCGTTAGTTAAGTCCTCACCCATGCGATCTACAAACACCATGGCTGTGTCTACACTGGGCCACTTATTCTGGAAAATCAGCCGCTTTTCCGGAATAAGCTGCGAGCTGTCTACACTGGCCCTTGAATTTCCAGAAAAGCAACGATGCTCTACTGTACAAAATCAGCCGCTATTCCAGAAAAACTATTCTGCTCCCGCTCAGGAATAAGTCCTTATTCCGGAACACTGTTCCGGAAAAGGGCCAGTGTAGACAGCCCAGTAGTCTTTTCCGGAAAAAAACTCTGATCACAAAAATGGCGATCGGGGCTCTTTTCCGGAAAAGCGCGTCTACATTGGCCACAGACGCTTTTCCGGAA